AGGAGGAGAAATAACGTAAAATGGGAGCACGAGGCCGAGGAGCTCTGGCGTTAGAAAGGAGCTCGCTGTCTCTCTCTCAATTAGCCCCACGTTTGGAGCGCGCCCCGAGGATAATCACGGAGACGCACAAGTCGCAGCGGCAAGGATGCCGGCGCGCCTCCCATTGCCGAGGCCGCTGTTTCCGGCGAAACGGCAAGCTGGAACCCGGTGGGCGAGGCCGAGCTCACGGCCAGCCTTTGACGTGGACGGGGAGGGAGGAGGGACAGGTGCCAGGAGAGAGAGGAGGCCAATGGGGTTGGCGCCCGCCCTGGCCAGAGGAGTCCCCACATGTGACTCCTGTCTTCACACAGGCAGGCACGGTGGGGCCATCTTCAGCTGCTGTGAAAGCCTCGGAGATGATACCTTTTATTCTAGAAGTTGCATTGGGTTCTCTCGGATAGTTTCTGTTTCTCTGCTAAGATCCTCCATCTGTTCATTCATCTTGTCCTTGAAGACCTGGACATGCTACCAGGTTGGGTCTTCCATGGTTTATCTGTGCCTGCCACTCCTGAGGCCTGGGCTTCCCGAGGTTTCCAGGGACTGTCTGGACCTCTCAGTCACTGTGGGCTTGGTAGGGACAGCTGTGTCTGCATCTGGCTCCCAGGAAACTCCCTCTGCGCCCATGAGGCAGGCGAGTGGGAAAGGCAAACAGTTTTCGTGCCGCTATGAAAAGCTTTGAACTTGAGAGCCTTTTGAAAGTCTCAGAGACCTCCTCCCACAGGGTCCAGGGAAGGAAAAAAGAGAGACTGACTGTGTGCTCATGGGGCTGTTTTCACTGCCTGGGCTGGGATCACCAGTCAGCTGCCACGCCCGGGTGCCAAGTCCGTGGACTACACAGGCACAGCCCGGCTGGGCCAGCACCCATGCACACACCCTCCTGACCAGGTCCCTGTCCCACAAACCCCAGCTGTCACACAGCCCACACTGCCATCGGGGTGGAACCAGACTCTGCTTGTGGCCCCCACAAAACACCCCAGGCCTCAGAACAGCTCACATGACCTGCTGTTTGACACCCCAAACAGTGTCTCCTACACTCCACCCAGTTTTTAAGTGGTTTCCATGGGAGGGCAGCCACCAGAAGCAGATCAGCTTAAAATATAAACCTAGACACTTTAGGAAGTGGATCACAGACCTAAACGTGAAATCAAAACTACAAAACTCGTAATTCAACAAAGGAAAACACCGAGGTGATGAATACGGAGGAGACTCTGTATGTAATGCTGTCAAAGGCGCCAGCCCTGAAAGAAAGAACTGGCAAGCTGGACCTCATTAAAATCAAAAGCTTCTCCTCTGCAATAGACAGTGTCAAGAGAATTAGAAGACAAACCATAGTCTGGGAGAAAATATTTGCAAAAGAAATACCTGATAAAAGACTATAACTAGCTATGCCAGTGTGGTTCAGTGGTTAGGCATTGGCCCATGCACCAAAAGGTCACTGGTTCAATTCCCAATTAGGGCACATGACCAGATTGTGGGCTTGATCCCCAGTAGGGGGTGTGCAGGAGGCAGCCTATCAATGTTTCTCTCATCAATGTTTCTCCTTCTCCCTTCCTCTTTAAAACTCAATAAAACACATTTTAAAGAAAATAGTGTTATACAAAATATATACAAACTCTTAAAATTCAACTAGAAGCAAACAATCCAATAGAAAAATGGGCCCAAACCTTCCCAGACCCTTCACCAAAGGAGACACACATATGGCAAATAACCAATGAAAAGCTTCTCCACGTGCCACTTGGGGAAGTGCAGGAGATTCCACTGCACCTCTGTCCGAGGGGCCAAACCCAGAGCTCACCCGCCAAGTGCTGGCGGACGGGGAGCAGCGGGGCTCCTGGTCACTGCTGGTGGGAACGCAAAGTGATCCACTCGCTTTGGGAGACCGTTTGAAGGTTTCTTACAAAGTGGAACACACATACTCTCCCCATACAATCCTGTAATCGTGCTCCGTCACATTTACCCGAAGGAGCTGGAAACCGATGTCCGCAGAGACCTGCACACCATGCTGCAGCAGCTTTGTTCCTACCGGCAGCGGCTGGGAGCAGCCAAGACGGCCTTCCGCTAGGGAAGGGCTACATCAACCGTGGTCCGTCCAGACAGCGGGCTGCTGCTCAGCGCTGACAAGGAATAAGCTATCAGGCCACGCACAGGCGTGCGGGGATCTTACATGCACACTACGGAGTGAAGCAGCCACTCTGAAAAAGGTGGCCTGATGCCACCTCTGTGACATCCCAGAAAGGCAAAGCTGTGGAGACACAAGAAGACCAGGGGGTGCCCGCGGCTGTGGGGAGGGCTAGCTTGGCAGAGTGCAGGCTTTGAGGGCAGTGAAAAGGCTCCACACGACGCTACAATGATGGATGACACGTCGTGATGCATCTGTTAGACCCACAGGCTGCACAGCGCTGAGAGCGAACCTCATGTAAACCACAGTTCGGGCGACGGTGACACGCCAATGTGGGCTCATCGGTGGGGGTGCTGATGATGGGGGGCTCTGCGGGTCTGGAAAGGCGATAGGGAAAGTATACAGGAAGTCTCCGTACCCTCCACTTATTTTGCTGTGAACCTAAAACTGCTTCATAAAACAAAACCTTTTAAACATCATCTTTGAGAATGCCCACCCTGTGCTGCTTTTTCCTGGTGCTGGCTGCACACGCAAAAGGTGCCCTGTGCATGCATGTGCATGTACGTGTGTAAAATGTGCTGCGGAGTGTGTGTGTGCACTGCAAGCTGTGGTGACCTGTGTGTGCGGGCATGTGCGTGTGTAAGCGTGCTGCGGAGTGTGTGTGTGCACTGCAGGCCGGGGTGACTGCACGGGGCACACACACTGTGACGCGCCTCTCCGTGCTGACCAAGACGCTGTATGTGTCCTGCATGGAAACCAATGGTCACACTCGGCTTGAAACAGGAACGTCTCACTACAACCTGGTCAGGCAGCATGCCGTGGGTTCACAGGGCCGGCTGCTGGGATGGGGCCTCCCCAGCCCTAGAAACTGGGAGGCATCTGCTGCTGACGATTAGAGGATTCCAGCGGACGAGACGATGTCTGCAGGGCTGGCAGCAGCAGCTCAGTGGGTAAGGAAGGAGGTAACGGACAGCACGGTTCCCATGATGAACAGCAGACGGATGTGCTGCCTGGCTCCCCTCGGCCTCGGCACCACCGAGCCCCACAAACACTGAGGCAGCCCCGGCAAGAGAGAGGGTTTGGACTCGAGAGAAGCAAATAGCCACAGGTCTTTGCTGGTACCCACAGGCAGCGCAGAGGGTTTATGGGGCTCTCCTACTGCCCCCCACAGTGGCCGTTCCTTTACAGACTTCTCTGTAACCAGCACTGAAGTTCCCTCTGAGCGTCTGGCCTCCGAGGTTGCTAATGGAGAGGGAGCTGAGGGAGCTGTGACACATGAGAACACGGTCAGAGCTAACCTGCGTGCTGGCTCGCCTGCAAGGTTGGGACCCAGGTTCCGCGGGTCCAGCACGGGGAGCTCGGTGAGATGGCAGGACTCTCAGCAGGCCTGACCACAGCGGGCCCCGCCTCCACACGCTGTTCTTAGGGCTGAGCGTGAACTTTGACCTTGAGCCCCGAGCGCGGCTGCCCACAGAGGGCCCCTGTCGGCGGAGACTCTGCTGGGAGTCGGCTGGCACGGTCAGCAGCCGTGAGCGGGGCACGGCAGCCCTGGCAGAGCTTCTGGAACCGGCCGACCCGCCCTGCATCCTATCAGACCACGAACCCGTGTTCACTTAAAATACCAGGTGGTAAGAGACAAGCCCGGGAGACTTGGACGAGCTCTGGAGGAACGGCTCATCATCTCACAACGGCTGGGCCGAGGGGTCTCTGGACACAACAGCACTACTTTGCAGGCCCATGTCTCCGTTCTCAGGGGTAGGCACAGTCCAGGTTTGGAGGCAAAGGCCCCGAACTCGGACCTGCAGACACCTGGTCCGCCAGTCAATGGAGAGACACCTGGTGCCGGGGCCAAGGGCTGGCGGAGTGCCCGGGACCGTGGGTCTCAGGCAGCACGCAGAGCACCGGCCAGTGGCTGCTTGCCAACTCCAACTCGGACCCAAGCCCTGTGAGACGCACATGTCAGGGGATGGAAACAATCAGGAACTGATAAATCAGCAGAGAGACGGGCACCTAGTGAGATGACAAAAGCTCGTGTAAAACTGCCGCTGTGCTGGAGCCCCCACCCCGGAGCCCAGGGAGAGCTGGTCACAAGAACGCGAGGAGACCGGACCTGCCAGGGCCACAGGCTGGTCCCCCTGAGCTGAGAGCCCCTCCTCTATCCACGGCTGCGACCGCCCAGGAGGAGCTTCCAGGAAGAACGATGACGCGCCATTCAGCAGCCACCACCCACCTGGAGGGCCTGCAGCCAGGGCACCCGGACCCTCCTGCAGCGACAGTGCCGCTCAGCCGGCCTGCACAGGCCTGGGCACCCCCTCTCCCCCCCCATCAAGGGGGTGTCTACAGCGCTGTCTCCTGGAGCCCACAGTCCCCAGGGTAGGTCAGAGCAGTCACCGTGACCTTGACCTTGAACACTGTGTAGACGGATAGAGCTGGACCTCCAGGGCACGGCTGTCACACGGACACCATTTCATCCACTGGAACCAATCCCTCTCCTCCTCCCCGTGGGCCTCATCTCCCTCTCCCTCAGCACTCCGCTCCCTTCCCCAGCCCGGGCCCTGAGCACCGGCCGTGCACCCGTGCCGTGCCCGGCCAACGCCGCCTGCCGAGGCGCAGCGGTCTTTCCTCACACACGTGAACGCGCCACTATCCAAACAAGCCCAGCTCACTCACGTCGGCGCCAGAGCCATCTGTACCCCGCTTGCTCAGCTTTGGAGGGCCCCCTTCACCCTCACAGGGCAGACCCCCCCCGACCTCCTGGCTGTGGCGGGAGTGCCACCTCACACTCAGGCTCAGCGCTCGGTGACAGGGCCTGGTGGGGGCTGGACGGCGGGACCCCGCTCACCGGAGATGATGGAGTCGTTCAGCACCTCCTCGTCCTGGTACAGGAGCAGGTCGTCCGGGAGCTCCGCGCTCACCAGCAGGTTCTCCTTGTTCTCCTCCGACGCCTTGGTGGCCGCCCACCTGCCCTCCGAGGCGCCCTCCGTGCTCCAGGCCTCCTCCTGCTCCTTGGCCCGCTCCATGCTGGATGCTCGCGACAGGCGGACGTCCACCCGCTTCTTCGGGGACCCTTTGCTGTCCCTCCCTTGGAAACTGAGTCAGAAAGGCAGGTCAGCTCAGATGCTGGCATCTTCCCCTGGGAAAGCCGCCACGCTGGCGGGTGCTGCAATGGCCCAAGTGCCAGAGCGACGCCCGGGCTTCTGTCCCGAACACACAGCACGGGAAGCGCAGAGGCGTGCACACACGGCACTGAGTCCGCGGCAGTGGCGCTGAGAACATGGGCTTTTAGCAGCACAGACATGCATGTAACAAAACCTGCCTCACCGCCCACAGCGTGCTCAGGCCAAGGCTCCCAAGAGCTGGGAAGGGCACGTGTCTGGCGTCGCCCACTTTGCCCGCCAACAGCTTGCCTCTCCTTCACATGCAACAAACCACGGAGATCAGGGCCAGGTGAGCCTCGGGAGCCACCCGGGACCCCTCACAGAGCGTGACCGGCCCAGCTACAGACCAGCCGCAAAGCTGGGTGCCAAATGCCAATGCCGGCTCGCTGCCGAAGAAAATGACTGAGAACTTCAAGCTGGTGACACAGAGCAGTGACCCAGCCCAGACACCTCCCAGGTGCACCCACCAGCTGGCCAGGGGGGATTTGGCACACAGCGCCCTCGGCCACGGCGGGGCCTACCTGTCCTGGCGGTGCTTGGTGGCCAGTGCCCGGTGCAGCTCCTCGATCACGCGGCTGGGGGGCAGCGGCCGGTGGATGGTGGTGGGATGCGGGGACCCTGTGGGCGTGGGGAGCTGTCCTCGCGGGGGAGGGTCAGCATTCTTCCCGCCGGAGTCTTGGAGGAGCGCAGCCTGGCCTGGGGAGTGAGAGGCCAGGAGAACCTAAGTTCCTGGGCAGGGAGGCGACACGAACCGAGGAGCAGAGAGGACGCAGGTCCCTGCCGGGTGAGCTGGGCTCCCAGGGCCTGTGCCCCGCGGTCCACCAGAGCTGCACAGAGCAATGCCGCCGGCCAGCTGCACCTGCCCCGGGCCCTGTCACCACCTCTCGCAGGCGAGGAAACTGAGGCCCAGGAGCCAACTCCAGGTCGTGCTCCTTCAGGAGGTGGGGGTGGGGAGGGCCGGGGCTGGGACTGGTCCCTGGCAGGTGACCCAGGTGCAGTTGAGGCCACGAGACCCCATAGAGGAGCAGACTGTCACCGCGGGGCGGCAAGGGAAAGCTTGCCTGAGGGGCAGGTCATGTGTCTCCAGGGTCCAGGCCAGTGAAATGCAGGCCAGCGAGGGGACAATCCATACAAAGGGGGTCGGGGACTGTGGCTAACAGGAGGTTGGTCCATCTTAAGGGGGCTGTTGTGACTCAGGGCTGCCAAATATGAACTTAAAAAAAAAAAAAAGCCAGAAATTTGGAATATAGGTGAGAACTCCTGCGTTTATACATACTAACATCTAATACTTCAATAGACTTTGATATGTTTTAAATGTTGGAAACACATTAAAAAAAAATCAAACATCATATAAGCCCAGCACAGCAAGTCTGAAGTGGGATCCGGGGAGGTGAGGGGCTGCTGTGTCTCAGGCCAGAGAGCTCCATGGGACGCGCTTGTGTGCTATCTATCCTGGCCAGGTAAGCCCAGGTGAGGGGTCTCTCTCCTCACTGCTGCCACCTAGTGTTCACAGAATGAAGCCAACATTTCCCCAAAGAAAAGGAAAAAGGACCTTGGAGAAAAGAAGACACTCCCAAATGTCCTCAGCTGCCAGAGAGCCCGGCCCGAGCCCTGTGGCCACCCTCCTGTCCCTTCGTTCCTGTCCCAGTCCCCATATCCATGGGTGCCTGGGCGACTGGGTGACATGTCCGATTTATGCCCTGGATGCTCCTCTGTACCAGGTGAACTGACAGGGTGAATGCCGAGGGCACCGTGCGCCCACCTGGGGGCTGTGGCCAGGACAGGCTCCTGGAAGAAAGGACAAGGATGCACTGACCTGGTGAAGGGAGACGAAAGAACATTCTAGCAGGGAAAGCGGGGGGTGAGGGGGGAGGGGGGGCGTGTGGAGGGTATGAGCCCCAAACAGCTCAAGCCTCCATTAGCTGGGGGCCCTGGACAAGCTGCTGGAGCCTCAGTTTCCTCCACTCCAGGACTGTGACGGGCCCTGTGCCCTCGGGGTCCTTGGTGCCGGGCTGGTGCACCCCGTGCGGTAAACAGTCGTATTACAGGTGGAGGTCAGGGGCTGAGAGCTGTCACCTGCCACCTCTGTCTGCAAGGCCACCTGCCAGGACTCGCTCCTAAAGCAACCTCCTCCTAGGAAGGGCCTGCTCTTCCTGAGGCCAGTGCTGCCCCTGCTTCCAGCAATTATGGCACAAGAGAGCACAAGCCTGGAGTGGAAATGTCTCAGCTACCTGGAATTGCTCAGCTGGCATGGTCAAAGCTGCAGACAGAGGCCTTGGGGCCTCTGCTTGGCCATGCTGCCCTCTCTGACCACCACCCTAACCTGCCTTCCAGAAGGGAGAGATAATCAGTGAAACAGATGAACAGAGGCAGTGAAAGACTGAGAGAGAGAGGAAGGGAAGAAGAGAGAAGAGGGAGGGAGGGAGGGGAGAGAAGAGGAGGGGAGGGGAGAGAAAGTAAGGGGAGGGGAGACAGAGGAAGAGAGAGAAACATAGGACAGACACTTGGACAAAAAGATCTCGTTTGGGGGCCAGCTGTGTCTCATGCACTCAGAAGACCCCAGACCACTGCAAAGGCTCTGCCCTGCTTGCCAGAGGGTCCTGAATGGTCTGCTTCTGATCCCCAGAGGTCCTTACTACGGAAGAACAGCCCTCCGGCCCCAGCTCTGCTCCTGGACCTGCCCAGGGACCAATGCCCAATCAGCCCCCAGAGGGAGCCCCATTAGGATGGAAGGAAGGAAGGAAGGAAGGAAGGAAGGAAGGAAGGAAGGGAGGGAGGGAGGGAGGGAGGAAGGGAGGGAGGGAGGGAGGAAGGAAGGAAGGAAGGAAGGAAGGAAGGAAGGAAGGAAGGGAGGGAGGGAGGGAGGGAGGGAGGGAGGGAGGAAGGAAATAAGAAAGGGAGGAAGGAAGGAAATAAGAAAGGGAGGAAGGGAGGGAGGGAGGAAGGGAGGGAAGGAGGGAAGGAGGGAGATGGATGGGTGGATGGACAATGCGTTAGGACCCACCTGCGGCATTTTTTGTGGCTTTGGAGCCTGCCTTGGGCAGTGAGGTGGGCGGCAGCAGGGGACTGGGGAGCTGGCCCACGGATCTCTCCAGGGTTCTGGGAGGACTGTCCAGGGAGTCGGACCCAGCTAAGGCTTGAGAGGACTCATCCGTGGGGGGCGGAAGGCTGCTGGTGGCGTCTGCTTCTTCACCTCTGGGTGCTGAGGGCGTCTTGGCTGATTCAAAGACAAAAACAGAGAGTTCACAAACCATGGAGGCTGTGAGGTGAGCGAGGGCAGTGGGGGGCGGGGGTTGGACTGCGTGCGGCATGGAGCAGAATCCACAGGGGCCACTTCACATACACACTTGACCTCCTGTGAGTTCAACTATCACTAGAGCCATCAGAAGCAGAGAGGAGGAGGAAATCACTTCATGAGCGAGTGGTTCAGTTCCCTTTTCACTCACTGGGTGGTGCCAAAGCTCCCGCCTGGCCTGCGGAAAGCGGGGCGGGGCTGGGGGGTGGGGGTGGGGGTCGTCCACAATCACAGGTTTTGGGATCAGACACGCCTGGGCTCCAGCCGGCCCCTGCACGTCCCCTGTGCCTTTGGGTCGGTCTCTGCCTCATCTGCCCACACATCGAACTTCCATGGGATCGAACTAACAACAGGGGTCCCTCCCCTCACAAGACAGCTGTGACATTTAAACAAGAGATGCCATGCCCTAGCTGGTTTTGCTCAATAGATAGAGAATTGGCCTGCAGAATGAAGGGTCATGGGTTCGATTCCAGTAAAGGGCATATGCCCAGGGTTGTGGGCTCAATCCCTAGGAAGGGATGTGCAAGAGGCAGCCGATCAGTGATTCTCTCATCATTGATGCTCTCTCCCCCTCCCTTCCTCTCTGAAATCAGTAAAAAATACAGTTAAAAATAAATAGTTAATAAAATAAATAATAATGATGGAAGAGATGACGTGTGCCTTCACATCACAGACACATTTAGCAGCTACTGGCTTCTAGGTCTGGTTTTCAGCAGCTCTGCCCCCGGCACACTGGCCAGGTGAGTGATGGGGAAGGTCAGCCTGCCCAGACCCCACCCATCCTCTCTTCCTCCTGCATGTCCAGCTCCCCCAGGAAGGCCCCCCAACTTCATGCTCCCCTGCTTTCTCCCAACCCATCAACCCTCCCCCTTCCACTCTCTCCATCCAGCCCAGTCTCCACCATCCACCACAGCAAGGATCTCTTCCACACCCAGCTCCCCTGCCTGACTTCCTTCCATTTACATCCGGAAAGCCCCACCTCTGGATGGAGCCCCCATGACCCCACCCCTGTGGAGGTGCCACAGAAGGCCCAGCCCCAGCCACCTCGGGACCTGCCCCCAACCCGCACTCAGCACACCGCCTCCCCCTCAGTCACTCTGCTTCACACCTTTCCGGGCCTTTTCCTGCTCCCGTCTCCCACCTCCCTCCTGCCATGCAGCCTCACCTCCAGATTTACAGGGGAAACTGAGGCCATCTGACAGGGGCAATCCTGTCTCACACACAAATATATTGTCCCTACACCCCTCCCTCCCTCCCTCCCTCCCTCCCTTCCTCTCTCCTCCCTCCCTCCCTCCTCCCTCCCTCCCTCCCTCCCTCTCTCCCTCCCTCTCTCCTCCTTCCCTCTCTCCTCCTTCCCTCCCTCCTCCCTCCCTTCCTCTCTCCTTCCTCCCTCTCTAATGTGAGAGGCAGCCTCCTGTCCCCACCTGGGACCCAGGTACCCAGGCCTGTGCAAGGCCCTGGCTGTTTCGCTTTTACAACCACCTGAGGCTACTAACATCCAGGAACAACCTTTCAGAGTAGATCCTAAAATCAGAGCGGACCCATACATCTTCCCATGCTTCGGACCTCCTCAGGCAGGCAGGCGGGGCAGGGCGCTGCCCGCGGTGCTGAAAGCCCTGCTGCGGACCGGGCGGGATCCCTGCCCTTGGGGAACGTCCACAGGATCATGCAGCGTGCGGGGTCCCATTGCTCATCAGCATTTCTACTATCTCAATGTCCACGGCGGAAGTGGCAAGCCTCTCTGGCCAGGCCCTTGTGAAGCTCATGGGAATGGAGACGTTGCCATAGTGGCACTGGCCCTCCCTTTGGCCACAGAGCACAACCCGAAAGGAACCCCACTCCCCTCCAGGCAGCCTGGGCTCTGCATCAGAGGGCTGATTCCTAATTGCTCCACAGAGGTGCCCGCCCCAACAGCCAGAGTGGAATGCGGCTCCCCCTTCTGCTCAGAGGGCTCCACACAGCAGCAAAGCCTAGTCCTCCCCCAAAGCCTCTGCACAAACCTAGTCTCTGCTCACCGCACAGACCCCGGAGTGCCTGACCTGTCTGAGGGCCGCCTCTCCTCCTCTCTCAGCCTGCATCTTCCTCAGCATTTTCTATAGGAGTGTGTAGCTACCATTGTAGTTTGGAATCTTATCGAAACGGAAATGTTAACAGCCCTTCAAATCTCAAGTATGGGGGGCGGGGGAAAGCCTTAGAAGACAGCTCCGGGCATTCTCTGATTTGGAGATCCCTCACTCAGGGCTGGCCCTGTCCTGCCCTGACCAGCAGAGGGAGCTGCGCGCCCACTGAAGGCTCCAAACCCCAGTGCGGGGCTCAGATCTAGAAGTGAAGCCAGAAGCTCCCCTTCTCCATCACCCTGGGAGGATGACCCCAGACTCAGTAGCATGCCCCGCCCACAGAAAGATTCTTAATAACAAGTTTGTGCTCAGCAAACCAAGTGTGCTCTGAAACCCATCCCCAAACCAGCTGGAGAGCAAGAGCGCCTGAGGTTAGGTGGGCCTTGACGGGAGCCAGCACATTCCTGAGCTGAACAAGCAGAAAGGACCTGCCCGGCAAGCTCGGGGCGCCAGCGGCAGGACGGCAGCCGCCTTGCAGAGCGGCAGGCTCAGTGGCCGAGGGCAAAGCTGAGTGAGGCCATGGGAATCCACCAACCTCCACCCCGACTGAAGGCTGATGCCTGGGGAAGGCAGGTGCCCGGTGCCCAAGGGGCCGCTGCAGGAGGGGCCAGGGTGTCTCACCAGCCACAGCTATTCAGGCCCAAACTCATGTTTCCCCATGTCAGGGTGAAACTGGAGAGGCACAGCCAGCCCCTCTTGGCGGGTGCCTGCCGATGCTGAGGGGACGCTGTGGGTGGGGCCATGGGAGAGGACAGGGAGAGCCCCAGTGGGCAGGAGGAGGCAGCCGAGGACAGATGCTCGCCCGGCTGTGAAGCGAAAGGCCCCCACTGTCCACAGGAGCCCTGGTGAGCCTGTCCTCGTGGCCTGGACTTCCAGCATCCACAACTGTGGGGACACAGTTGAAGTTGCAGCCCTCACTGTGCCTGCCATGTTCCCGGATGCAGCTTCACTAAGGAACAGGCTCCCTGCTCTGCAGTGAAGTCTCCTGGGAGACACCTCCACAAACACTGCCAAGCGGTCCGAGAGCAGGGCGCCGTCACCTCAAAGCACCACACGTGTCTTTCCTGGGTTCATGCTTTCCTTCCTCTCCATCATTCCCTTTGTCTCTCCTTTCTCAGCTGCCAACCACCCAGTCCATTCAATTAAAATAATGATCACCACTACCACCGTCACCAGCACTGCCACCACCACCACCATCACCATCATACCACCACTACCACCATCACCGCCGCCGCTGCCATCACCACCACCACCACCACCTCTACCACCATAACCACCACCACTGTCATCACCATGACCACCACCACCACCACCGCCACCACCACCTCTACCACCATAACCACCACCTCTACCACCATCACCACCACCACTGTCATCACCATGACCACCACCACCACCACCGCCATCACCATCACCACCACCAGCACCACCACCACCACCACCACTGTCATCACCATGACCACCACCACCACCGCCGCCATCACCATCATCACCACCAGCACCACCATCATCACCACCACCGCCATTATTGCCACCACCATCATCTCCAGTAATCAGCACAGCGCCTGCCACACTGAGTGAGTCCTTCCATCTGACACAAGCCCCACATTTGTTGCCTGTAACAGAGGGAGCCAGTGAAGCGTGGAGCAGAGCAACAAGCACGCCTGGCGGAGACGTGGCAAGAAGCACCTCCCCTCTGCGGAGCCGGCATGCTGGCTTCCCCGCGGCAGGCACTGGAGTCCTCGCTGACAGAGGTGGGCTCTGTGGAGGACGCTGGGGCCCCTCCACTCCGTTCTGCCCTGTGGGCTTGGGCTCAACGAGGTTGCTCCTAGTGGACACTGGCCTTGGGGAGACTTTCCTGAAGTTTCCGTGAAGAAGCAAGGATGTCCAGAGGCCGGTGATGGTGCACTGTGAGCCTCGTGGGCACTTCCGTTCACCGGCTGTGCCCGACTGGGAGGACACGGTTTGAGACGTTCCAGCAAACACTTATACGCATGGCACAGCGGGCGGAGCTTGAGAGGGCCGCGATTGTGATGGAACCCAGGCCCAGGCTGGGAACCCCAGCTGCCACCCAGGCCAGTGGCCCTCCTGGGAGACCTCATCCCCACACGGTCTCCAACAGGTACCTGCATCCTCGGAGAGGCTGTCCGAGGACAGTGGCTCCTCCAGGGAGGCCTGGCCTGTCCTGGTGGCCGAGGGGGCTCCTGGCTGGGCGTCTTCGGGGAACTGCTGCTTGGGAGTGGACGGCTCACTCTGTGTGGCTCGGCTGCCCGCTCTGCTTTCAGTGTCTGCAAGAAAACACAGCTGTCAGCCTGCCTGTCCTCCCTCCCTACATGCTCTGTGTGTTTTGGCTAATCCTCACCTCACCTCACCTGAGCGAGGTTATTGTTTTTTGTTTTTTTTGTTTTGCTTCCATTGCTTTTTTTCAGAGAGTAGAAGGGAGGGAGGGAGAAACATTGATGTGAGAGAGACTCATCAACTGGTAGCCTCCCGCGCATGCCTGGAATGGGGGCAGGGAGGAAACCCATTACTGAGGTACATACCCTTGACCAGGAATCGAACCTGCAACCATTTGGTGTTGATACTCTAACCACTTAGAAACTCTGGCCAGAGCTCAGCAGCTTCCATGCCAAAGCCTTGCCCGGGCCCCGGAGTCCTTGTGCACACCCTGTCTTCCTAAGGCAGCTCCAAGCATCGCGACACCCCAGCCTCACACACCTGCCCGTGCCCTCTCACTCCGACCTGTGCAGACTGCAGCTTTGGGTGTCTCCCCCTCACCTTGGCCTCTGCCCGGAGCTAGCTTTGGTCAGTGGGACACCACCAGGTTTGACGCAACAGCAACCTCAAAAGCGATGCTCACTCCTGCTTGCTGCTCCTGGTCCTGGGCCCCGCCTGGAGGACACCCCGGGCTAGCGTGGGATGGGCGGGGGAGGGGAGACAGATGCACGGCTGGGGGCGGGGCTGAGCTGCCTCCATCCTGGCAGCCAAGGCCAACCCCGACAGGTGACAACAAATGCCCCCAGGTGCTGGGTTGTTTGTTAGATGACATTGTGGCTACAGGAACAGATTCACCACAGTCAGCCCCAGGAAGGCAGAGAGCAGTAAGCGTGACCCTCACCCCTTTAACTCACACTTCGGGGTTCATGAGCCCAGAAATGGGGGGACTGCCGAGAACCAGGGGCATCACAGAGCAGGGATCCCAGAAGGATGACATCAGGCACCTAGCAGGGAGGAGAGGAGGACTGGGCTCCCCTTGTTTGGGGCTCAGCTGTGGAGCCTTTGAGGGTCTGACCCCTGATCATTCAGGGTTTCATCTTACTGATGAGGGTCCGGCGCTCAGGAGCATAGTGACTGGTCCTGGTCCCACAGCCACAAGGAGACTCAGCAGCTGAAAACGTGCCCCTTCTGAGACCCACCGCAGTCCCTGTGGACGCCCTCGTCCCCATCGCCATGTCATCGGGCCATCGCAGTGCAGAGCGGCAGCGTCCCCTGTGCAGGTTCACGTGGCCCGGAGGCGGCAGGGTGAGGGCAGGGACCGGGACTGGAGAGCTTGCTCCGGGCAGCCTCCCGCACAGCGTGGGAGGTGGGGGTAGAGTGGATTGTGGAGTCAGGGGCCCCCTTTGCCTGCTGTCTTTGTCTCCACCAACAGGGTATGCTTTCACTCCCAGCATGCCACAGCCGGGTAAAATGTGCGGTCACCCTGCCCGCACACCCCCAGCCCTCACGGCGGAACTGTCTGTACCCACAGTGTCCCTGGCCTAGGGCTCCTCGGCCATAAAATGAGAGGAGTCTGACCACCAGCTTCACGGCAAAGGTGTGAGAAGTTAGTGCGTTAACACTTGCAACGTGCCTGGAACAAACACGCAATGTGCTAGCAATCGCCATTATTGCTGTTGATGAGGGTTTGTGTGTTTTTTAAATCCTCATTTGAGGAAGTGTTTTTGTTAATTTTAGAGAGTGGAGGGGTGGCGGAGAAAAATTTCGATGTGAGAGAGACACATCAACCGGTTGCCTCCCGTACACGTCCTGACTGGGGATCAAACCTAAAACCTGGGTTTGTCCGTGGTGGGGGATGGAACCCACGACCTCTTGTTGCACAGGATGATCCTCCAACCGACCCACACCGCAGGCCACTGAGGGAATTTTGATGGGGAGGAGGTGGTGACGGTCTGATCACCAGGCTGGGGCCCACGTGCCCACATGATAACAACTTTACAGCTCCCGCCCTGCGCCCAGGGCACTGGCCAGTCCCATGCGTGCAGTGCACGAAGGATTGAGCTGGACACAGCTCACCTCGTCCCCTCTGCAGCACACCTGTCTCCTGGGGGAGGAGGAGCCTGCAGATTTGGACTAGAAAGCTCACATTGCACAGCCATGCCACCTGATGGGGGACCAAGCCAAGGGCCAGCCAGCTTTCCCCAGAAAGGGACAGATGGCCCATCATTTATTTATTTAAAATATATTTTATTGATTTTTCACAGAGAGGAAGGGAGAGGGATAGAGAGCTAGAAACATCGATGAGAGAAATACATTGACCAGCTGCCTCCTGCACACCCCCACCGGGGATGTGCCCGCAACCAATGTACATGCCCTTGACCGGAATTGAACCTATGACCTTTCGGTCCACAGGCCAACGCTCTATCCACTGAGCCAAACTGGTTTTGGCCAGATGGCCCATCATTTAGACTGTGGGCCATATGCCATACGGTCCATGCTGCCTTTCCTTTTTAAAAAAATATATTTTATTGAGTTTTTACAGAGAGGAAGAGAGAGAGATAGAGAGTCAGAAACATCAATGAGAGATAAGCACTGATCAGCTGCCTCTTGTACACCCCCTATTGGGGATGTGCCCTTGACTGGAATCAAACCTGGGACCCTTTAGTCCACAGGCCGACACTCTAGCCACTGAGCCAAACCGGTTTTGGCCATGCTGCGTTTTCTTAATTTTTACAAAAATCCTTTAAGTGTAAAAATCATTCTCCACTCAGGACCTTATAAAAACAGGCCATGGTTTGGGTCCACAATGAGAGTCTGCCAACCGACCTCTGACCTGGGGAGAGTCCCAGAAAAGTGCAAGCAGGTCCCTGGCCTCATGGACAAAGTTTGCTGTCACCGCTCAAACCCATTTCTTGGCCCCTCTCAGGACCAGCCTTGTCGTGCCTGACACACTGTCGTGACCACCTCCGCCCCGGCTCGCTCGCTCGCTCGGTCGTGCGGTGCAGGAAGAGAATGGCAGCAGCACCCGGGCCTCGTGCTCCCTGTGAGGCTGCCACCACCGCTCCCAGACATGGACACGAGGTTTAGAAGGCGCGGCTGTTTGCTGCCTCAACACTGTGCTGTTGTCACAATGACCCCTCTCCCTCCTCATCAGCATCAGTGGCAAGCCAGTCAGAACACTGGTCGGAGGGCGCCCGGGTCTCAGCCTCCTAGGGCTCAGCGGAGCTGCCCACCAGCATGCAGGCCCGGCTGCCCCGCTTCCAGCAGGCTCTGAGCTGCAGCTCGGAATCTTGTTTGATGAAAACTTCCAGTTCCCAAAATAGCCCTGGTGGCAGGGCGGTTGCTAGGAAACACTGGCTGGGGTAGGGAGCTGTGGGCGGCCCTCTCCGGCCCGGTTTCCACTGCCGCCCTTTCCCTCTGAGGCCACAGGGGGAGCACGAGGCCAAACCTGTGTCATCTAGAGTAGACAAAGGGAACATGCCATGAACACGTCTGCACATACGTGCACATAAACACACCCATGGGCACATGGGCACACATGTGTGCAGGCAAGCACCCACACTTGAGCACACACATGCTCACACTGGCCCTGGCATTCCAGACAGACTTGCTGTCCCTGCCCAAGTCTCCGAGGAAAGCACCGCTGAGCACAGCACGGGTGGCAGCTCGCTCTCACAGCCCATGATGGAGTATGAAGCTCCCTGTCATTTAAGAAAATGCCTCATGGACATGAGCAGGAAGATGGAGGACAGTTACCCGAAACACGCAGTGTCTGGCATGGAGACACCTGCGGGCCCCTGCCCTCACTGCTAGCATTTGGGCAGGGCCCGGGGAGGGGCTGGCAGGCTGGCCAGCCCTCACAGCATCTGTCAGAGAAGAGCAGCCACAGCAGTGAAGACAGAAAAAGGGTCACCTCCTTCCCCGCTTCCCCCACAGACCGAGTCCCATCTCATCTGTTGCACAGCCGCACAGGTGTCCCACCTGGTTCAGAAGGTCACTGCCGCCCCGGAGCCAGAGCAGAGGGTCAGAGGGTCTGCACACAGGGCGAACAATAGCACTAAACCCACCCCAATCGCGTGAGTGGGGAAGGCAAACCGTGTCCTGGACAAGGCTCCAGGGTCAGCTCCCACTGCTGCGCTGGTGATGGCGGTGTGGGCAAACTCCAGGTTGACTTACACCTATGTGTGCACCATGTGGGGTCATGTGTGCACGGGGGCATGTGTGTGGGGTACATGGGTGGTAGCATGTGCATGTGCGGGGCGGCACATGCGTGTGTGTGTGTGAGTGCACCCATGTGTGTGCCATGTATGTGTATCACATGTGTGTCCTGTATGTCCATGTGCACTGGTGTGTGCACAATGTGTGCACCATGTGGTTGCACAGTGTGTGCACGTACACCCATGTGTGCATGTGTGTACCATATGTGTGCATGCACCATGTGTCAGTGCTCAGCGTGTATGACCACATATGGGTGCCGTTGACTGAGAATCGAACCAGATGCCGAGCAGAGCCCACACCTGCTCCATGCCCCAGTGAAGAGGGGACTCCTCGCCTTCATGTAGCTAAAAAAAATAACAAGAAACATAGCAGCCCTGGCTGGTTTCCTCAGTGGTTACAGCATTGGCGTATGAACCAAAGGGTCGTGGGTTCGATTCCCAGGCAAGGGCACGGACCTGGGTTGCAGGTTTGATCCCTGACCCTGGTCCGGGGCAGGGGGCATGTGTGGGAGGCAACCAATCGATGTGGCTCTCTCACACCAATGTTTCTCACTCAGGTGAGAATGCAAAACAAACAAAAAGAAAGAAATAGAGTAGTTCATGAGTTACACAAAACTCAAATTTCCAAATCCACAAACAAAGGTGTCCCAGCTGCTAGGCCCTCGCTGAGACATACTACTGTCTTTTGCCTTTCCAGGCTGTCAGTGGTTGCCCTTGGGCCCATGGCCCCAGAGCCTGCACTCCGCTGTCGGATCCTCTGTGGGAAAGGTCTGCCAGCCGATGGAGCTGGAGGCGGGTGGAGGCCAGAACCCCCTCCTCCGCAGCAACACCGCCTGGTGGTCACCCCGACACTCTGGCAGCCGCCACAGTCCGCCCCGCCGGGTCTCTGTTCAACCGTCAAACAAAATGGTCACCAGACTCGGTGCTTAGGAGCGGCAAGCTGCCCTCTAGACCTTCTTCCTCCTCATCCCCTCCCTCTGTCCTTCCAGGAGTCAATCCAATGAGTCTTCATTAGCAGCGGTCATGTCTTATAACAGATAAACAGGCCATAACTCTGTTTTTACTTTCACTTCTCCAAGACCCAAAGGAAGGTTTGTTGGCAACACGTTCAAACGGCCTCGTCGTGTCCCATCCAGACAACCAGTCCTGAGTCCTCGCTCACAGGGCCGGGCCTGCAGGCCTGTCAGCACAGCTCTCCTTCACGTGCCAAGTCTGAGTCCTGGCGCCACGTATGTGCCCATGTGGGTTTGCCCTACACACATCCTCAGAACACTTCCGTCTCTGAGTCTAAAGAAATGATGACGAGGGGGAAGAGGGGTTTTGATAGAAACCCCCCACGGAGGCCAGGCTCCTTCAGTCAGGACCGAGAGCCCACCCAGCTTCCGAGAATGAGGGTGGTGAACCCTCACTGAGCCCGGGGTGTCAGAGGACCAGAGACCAGGGCCCCCGGTCCGGTGCCTTTTGTGCCACAGAGAGAGGAAGACTAGGAGCTCGGAAATCTCACGGAGGAACGGCGCTGTCCATGATGACCAATGTTTCTTAAAGATGCAGACACAGGTGGCCACACAGACTCGACCACGACAAAGACCCCCGGACCGGGGCTAACGGTGTCGGGGCCCTCGGGGTGACCCTGGCGGCCGCCTTAGACACCCCATTGCTTACCTGCACGCCGGAGAGGACGCACCGGCCAGGGTGCCGTGAGGACCAAAGGGATACAGGCCCGCCACCCAGCGCAGCACAGCGCCATCAGGGTGGCTCAGAAATGCCAGCAGCAGGGTAGGTGGCAGTAAAAATAACTTTCCTGAGTCAAGGATTGAATGTGAATGTGCAGTAACAAAGCCACTGCTGCCACTTCAGGAAGTAGCCACAGCCAAACCCCACGCACTGCTCTGCGGGAAGCCTCGGGCCTCCCGGGGAAGGAGATTGCTCTGAGCTGTGCCAGGGAGGGGCCTCCACCGCCCTCAGCTCTCAGAGGCTGGGGCTGACCCTGTGGGGCGGGACTCCGGCAATTCCTGCAGCCACGCAGCCCGCAGGGTCCAGCAGCCCCAGGAGGACGCCAGGCTTCTCCAATTTCCACTCTACCCGACGGGCCTCCGGGCCCAGGAGAGATGCCTTCTGTGCTCCTGGGCTCAGCGCTGCCCACTTACCCTGACTCACTTACCCTGCCCCAGTAACTCTGCCCCCCACCTGCCCTGTCCCCCACCTGCCCTGTCCCCCACCTACCCTGCTCCCCACCCACCCTGCTCCCCACCTACCCTGCTCCCCAATTACCTTGCCCCCTACTTACCCTCTTCCCACCCACCATGCTCCCCACCAGCCCTGCCTCCACTTACCCTGCCCCCACCCAATCTGCTCCTCATTAATCCTCCCCCCCCCCCGCCCTGCACCCCACTTACCCTGCTCCACCATCTCGAGCAGCCCCTTCTTGATGAGCTCCTCCCGACCCTGCCGGCCGGCCTTCTTCTCGAGAGCTGCACACACACAAACACCAGGTGAGTCAGGGCGGGCTCCGGAAGACACGGGGAGGCCCAGGAGGGAGGGTAAGGGGGCCTGGCCCCCCGGGCCGTCTGTTTGGGAACCCCAAGCTTTCTCACTGACCAAGCTGCCACGTGACACACCTGAGCAGCAAGCCTGGATGACATCCTTTTCTCGGCCGGCCCCCACTGCCCACTCTGCCCTCCACCAAATGCTCCTTAATTAAACGGCTAGCACTGCTTCTCTCTGCCCAATGTCCTGGGCACTTTCCTGTTATCGTTAAACACTCCTGGACCTCTCCGCTCACTCAGGCTCGCTGAATAACGGTATCTAGCTCTGGTTCTGGACAAGAAGAATTAGTCAATCAGCTTGGTGGGTGGTTAAAAAATTATCATGTAGGGGGGACAGTGGGGAGAGGAGGACACATACGTCATCCCTTAATCAATAAAGAAAATAAATAAACATTAATATCTAGCCCTGTCCGGTTGTTCAATGGTTAGAGCCTCACCCCCAAACACCAAAGGTCTAGGTTCGACTCTGATCAAGGGCACATACTGGGGCTGCAGGTTCGATCCCAGGTCCTGCTTGGGGCACATGTGGGATACAGCCAATCGATATGTTCCTCTCACATCAATGCTTCTCTTTCTGCCTCTGTCTCTCCCTTTCTCCCTCCCTCTCCCTTCTAGTCTCTCTAAAAATCAATGGGAAAATATGCTTGGGTGAGGACTAACCAAACTAATAATAATAATTATGTAAGAAGTGTAAAAAGGTGAGAGGAGGGCCAACTGCTGCTATGAGCGATCCCCCATGAGCTTTGTCTCCGACAGCATCTGAGCCCCGGAGGAAACGGAAACCCCAAAACCGCAGTGGCCACGGCCTGAGCTAAGCACTCGCCAAGACAAGTCCCGTGGCCGGAGCCGATGGCACAAGAACAGCCGCTCACGAATGGCTCCCAGCAGAGCTGAGAGGCACCCGTGAGGGCCTGTGGGTGAGATGCTGTCTCCCTGGGTTTGCTTCTCAAGGCCAACCTTCCCTTCACCCTGGATATGCCGGGTCCAGGGGCTGGACTGAGCAGGGTGCTGGGCTACTCTCAGCTCCTGGCCCCGCGGTGTGTCCTCCCTCTGAGCTTATCCTTCCCTAACGGCCAGACCCGGCAACGGCACTGGCCACACGGCTTCGGAGCGTGTGCGGTGGGAACACGGAGTCTGTGTGTTGGGAACGCCCTGTTGCTGTGTGCTGTATGGCCATTCGCTGCGGCCACATGCGCCCCTCTCGGTTGCTAATGGTCACAGTTCCCAGTGTGCCTGCGGGGCAGCGGCACAGGTGAGCAGAGGAGCGGCCGGAGGAGGGTGGGGGACCTGCGGGTCCTCTAAGGGGAGGGGGGGGATGGGGATGCAGTACCCCCCCTTCTCCCCCCCAGCTTCTTCAGGAAGAGTGCAGAGCCGAGGGCCGCCCTCCAAATCTCCAGGGGGCTCTTGGGGACCCCGGGCCCAGCTTTGTCAAAGTGGGTTCCTGTGCAGGAAGATGGGTGCTTACTCCTCAGGGGACGGGTCAGCCAGGAGAGCTTGACAAGCCAGGGTCTCAGTGCAGCCTGGCCCTGGCTTTTTCACGAGGTCCCAGGTGACGTGTGCACCCCTAGGGGCCGGTGGTAAGCGGGTCATGGTGCTGACCTGTCCCAGCAGGTGGATGGGCCTGGAAGGCCCCCTGGAGGGGGTGACCCGCAGGCTGGGCAGCTCCTGGCTGTCAGAGGCCATGGCAGCCCGCCCGTGGGGCTGGGGAGACGCCGGCCACGAAAGGCTCAGCAACAAGGACACCGCCTCGCTCCCGGGCTCACCGGTCGTCGTCTGCTTCAGCTTTTCGTTTTTCTTTTTCCTCCATTTCCAGGGTTTGAAGATCCGGCCCAGCGTGGCCAGCCTGCTGTTCCTCCGGGCGGGGGGCGTGCGAGTCCCTGAGACCAGATATTCGGAGCGCACAGGGGGCGTGGGGTCCATCTCACCTGGAAGACAACACCGAGGGCTCAGGGCCACGCATCCCCGGACCCGAGGAGCCACTGCAATTCTGCAGAGCCGGCCCAGAGCGCGTGTTTCATTTCCCCTCTGCGAGCCCCTCCATTGCAGCTCCCCACAGCCCCCGGAAGCCCTAACCAGACCCCGCCTGCAGCACCGCGATCTGAAGACAGAACTCCACCCCAGGACCTCGGCTCGCACTGCGCCCTCCACCTGTGCTGCTCGCCCTGCCGCTGCTCAGGGGGCCCGGCCACCTCAGGGAGTTTGTCTTCCCCCATCCCAGGTGAGGTCCAGCCCTGGCCCCTGCTCCGAAGTGACCTGCACGGCCACCAAGGAGCCACTGTGAGCTGGCGCCCACCCCGCCGCTGGCTCAGCGGCCAGCTCTGCCGCGGCCCTGGGCAGGCCTGGCCGTGCTCCTCGTGGGCAGTGGAGAATGACTAAGCCCGGAGTGGACAGAGCGAAGCGGCCGGATCCCTTCCTCGCCCAGAAAGCGAGGCCACTGGCACGCTTCGCAGGAAGCAGAGACGGGGCCGAGGAAGCGCACGGCGTTGCTGCCACACCGGAGACTGGTGGCAGCCACAAGCCCGTGGACAGGGTGCGGCTGGGTCATTGTACCTCTTCTGAGACCATGCACACACGTGGGAAGATAAAGCGGACGGTGTGAGCAGACACCTGCTCTGTTTCAGGGATAGTCTGGGAGGTTGGGGGCTGGGAGAGAGAATGGCGTGGGCTCCCCAAAGGCCATATGAGAGGGGTATTTAAAAAAAAATAGAATGAAAAACAAAACATGACTAAGGCAATGTGCCACCCAAGGTGGAGTCGATAATGGGACACTAGTAAGGATGTGCCAAGCCAACAGGGGCCAGGCCAATGGGTGTGTCTCCTCTCTCTCTCTCTCTCTCTCTCTCTCTCTCTCTCTCTCTCTCTCTCTCTCTCTCCCTTTCTCTCTCTCTCTCTCTCAATGGAGCAGGAGTCATATGTGAGGGGCTGCGGCCACAGCTGGTCCATAGACCAGCCCTGGCCAGGTGGGAGGTATTTTATTCAGACAAACTTGGGCGTCTTATTTCAGAACCTCTCCCTCCAGGCTCAGCAACCAGGAAGGCACCAAAGCAATGGCATTCTCCCTTGGTTTCCCACTGTAATCCCAAGGCCCTGCACCCAGTAGGAGCCTGGGTCATGCAGGTGAGAAATGATTGAGCCAGGGGGACCCAAGGGTGCCAGGCAGGATCCCTCCTCCATCCTTGCCCCAGCTTCTCGCAGGTGTGTAGGACGCAGCCAGTCCTTTCCTGGAGACAGTTTATTCCCTGATACTCCTTCCTGCGCCCACAGGCGCCAGATGGAGCAGAACGGCCAGTGCCACCTGCTCCGGAGTGCCAGCTGTCTAGAGGCAGGCACTGTGGGCATAATCTGCGAAGGCCTGGCCAGGCCTCCCCAAGCCGGGGCTCCTGTGAAGATGAAGACAAGACCCCAGAGATGACCTGGGAATGATGAAGCATTACCAACCCTTTCTGTATACCTCCTCGCCTGGCCCACCAAGGAAGGGTGGCAGGTATGAGAAACACACGCCTAACAAGGCAAAATGAACATGGGGGAAAACCAGAGAAAGGGGATTTGGACGGGGCCAGCCCCTCACACGGGCACCATCGCTGTGTCCCTGGCAACTTCACTGATGCAGCTCTGAGCTTCCTGGTGGGCAAAGCAGAAGGAGCAGCACGAAGGCTAGACCACAGGTTGGACCACAAATCCCACCACACTTGCTACCTGCATTGCTGAGACCCTGGGCCAGGTCACCAGATGCAAGAAGGGTGAGGTCAAGTGCTTGGAGGAAGAATGCAGCTGTGAGGGGCCTGGGGACCTTCCGCTCCAATGGCCTGACTCGTTCCTGTGCTGGGCGTGCAGCATGCTTGGTCTGGGGGACCCCTCGGGGCCTGCTCTCATCAGGGAGCACAGACCCCCGAGCCCAGGGGCCTGCTCCCCACCTCCACAGGTGGCTCAGGCCAGGGCCTGGCAGGCGGGGCTCCTGAACACTGGGACTTGCAACCCAAGAACAGAAAGTTCAGGAGCCAGGCTGTGCAGCTCGGTGCAGGAATTCCGTATAAACACCCGAGAGCAGGATGGCATGAGTGTGTCAACAGCTGTGGGCATGGGGGTCCCAGTGAGCGGAGGTGGGCCTGGGTCCTTCTGGGCATGGAGCGGGCTCTGCACGTGTGAAGGTGGGTGTGAATGTGGGTGGGTGGGTAGGTATGTAGGAGATGGGGGTGTGGGAATATGTGCACCTGCAGGCGGGCATTTACGTATGTGTGTGAGCATGTCCACACCTGGGTGGGTGTGCATGCACCCCTACATGTGTGCCCTCAGAAAGGGCGGGCTGGGCATGCTGCCCCTTCCCTCTGTCGCGGCCTCTGAATCCCTGAGCGTCTCTGGAGTTGCCAGGGAACGCCCTGTCCTGGGCGTTCTGCGGGGAAGGTGCATTAGCAAGCCTCTGCCCTCTAATTAGCTCAGGCGCTAAGTCCCGGCACCTCTGCCGCCTGTGAAACATTAGCTGTTAATTAATGGAAGTGTTTCCACAGGAGCACAAGGAGGTAAACACACAGCCTCAGGGCAGGCAGGCCCTGGGTGCCCAGGTGAAGGATGGGGCAGGCGGGCGCCTGCTGACATTGCACACCGAGCTGAAGGCACAGGCGCCGCTCCCTCCCAGTCCCCTCTCATGCGCAGGGCAGCTGGAGCTTGTCCCCAGTACCCAACCCCACCCATCTCCTCATCGGTGGATCCCATAAACCTGCAAGTTCTAGAACAGGCAGCGAGAAACACCAATGCCACAGCCTCGCTCACTGAGCTTACAGCTCATCTTCAAGCCTGGTGCAGGTTCTACTTCCTTATTCATAACATTCCCTTCCATCCCAGCCCTGGCCACTTGGTATCATCCCGGGTGCAGGGCTTACTGCTATTGTTCCATGAGCACAGGCACATCACTGTGTCCCTGGCATCTTCACTGACGCCCGGCACCCAGGAAGTGCTCCAATAAACACAACTGCTCAGCCTCTGAACCTGGGATGCTAGTGCGGGAGCCAGGGCCTGGCCCTGTCCATCTGAGTCCAAAGTCCACCCTTCATCATGCCAGGCATTTCCGCTTTCTTGCCTCCTGACCACTGAGCCAACCCTGACTCCCCTTTCCACATCCCCGGGACACCCGGCCTTGAAGAGCAGTGGAAGGAGAGGTCAGGCACCAATGCCACATGCTGCATGGCTGGCCTCTCGGGAGACAGGCACCATCTGCATTAGATAATGTTGGAACATGATTTCTGCATGTTTATTTATTCACTCACCAACTCACTAATCAACACCAGCCAAGGCCAGCTGTGCGCCAGGGCTGAGCTGTTTGAATCCAGTCAACAAGAGGTTCTGTCTCACCAGGCTGGAAGCTCACCTACTAATCGAGGGAGCAGGAAGACAACGAACATGGGAACAATGAGGTGTCCCTCGAAACAGAATGCACTACTGAAGCTGTAAATGAGAAGCCGGAATAAGGAACAACAGTGTATGGCCTCGGTGTCTTCCCTGAGTCCGTCTCCGCCCAGAAGCAGAGGGAAGTGGGGCTGGACCCCCTGCTCTGATGGCTCCCTGACCACAGGGGAACCTGTGCCCGGAACCAGCAGGAACAGATGGGGATTGCAACTTCAGAGCAAACACTTTTGAGAAGCAGTTCTGAAAACTCTGAGAAGGGGGCATTTGAATTGGGCCTCGCAGGTTGAGTAGGTGTTAAATAAAAGGTGCGGATCCATCAAAGCTGACAGGACAATGGGACTGGAGAATGGGGGGTAATGCAGGGAAGTGAGAGCTGATGTCCCTAGCCTGAGGTTGAGTAACATTTTCATGCACAAAAGTGATATGCCAACTTTCTATGGTGTTGACTAATGACCAATACACACACACAAATAAACATACACAAAACTAGCATCCATAACAATAGGAAGGATATAATCTCAAAGAAGGAAAAGTATCTTTTAATTAAACACATATCAATACATGAGAAAAATAATGAGGCCAGGTTGTCCTTCATGTACTAGCTTGCTGGCAGGGTCTGTGCACTTGAATCTGAGAACTCTTAGGCCGAGCTCCTGGCTGCTGGAATGGAGGGGATGGAGCGAGGCTACGGCCTGGCCATGAGGAGCTGTGTGTGGCCGTGACCGAAGCCCTGAGGGTGCAGGAATCACTGGGGAACCTGCTGTGAGATCAGCATTGCAGGAAGGCCTCATAGAATGTTGGGGCGATAGGCAGATTGCAGGGGAACAAGACAGAAGGCAGGGAGGCTGGTTGAGAGGGAACAGGCAGGTGAGGGCAGGGGACCAGTGGAGAAAGGAGGAAGGGAACCAGAGATGTCACCAAAGATGGGTCCTCCTCAGAATAGGGAGAGGGATCAAGGGGAGACATGGATGCCCATGAGAGACCGGGAAGACCAAGTTTTGTTTTGCTGCCACCATCATGGCCCGTGCGTGTGACCAGCTGTGCTCTGAGCCCCTAGCATGGATGAGCTTGTCCTGTTCCCACACAGACCCTAGAGGACAGGTGACTGTTTTCATTGCCTACATTGCAAAGGCAAAAATGGAGGCAGAGAGAATTGAAATCATTTTCCCAGGTCACAGGGCCAAAGCCCTTGTCCTAAGCCCTGGTTAGAGCACAGGGAACAGATACTGTCATCAGGGACACAGCATGCGGGAGGAAAGCAGGGAGGAAAGAGGTCATCATAGTTGCAACTGTGGTAAAGTCAGGGTATTTAGGGTACAAAAGACCAGTGGCACGTGTCCCAGCTGCAAGACACAGCTTGATGGCGTCTACAAAGCAAGCGCTGGGCGTTCTAACCACCCCGCCGACCGGAAGGGCTGGTCTGGACCTCCCAAGCCACATCTTCACTCAGATCTGGTCTCCCAGATGCATAAGCACCCCTGCAGGCCTGGTCCACTCCTCCTGGAAGATTTTTGCGTAACAACGA